AGCTTCGTTTCGATTATGAGCAGTTATCACTGTAAACAATGTTAAATTATTCTTCACATGCTCAGTTTATTTTTTGAGAACAATTATTTGAAAATAAAATCTCTCAGTCAATCAGAAACTCGGATTCATGCCTTCAGGGAAAGTCATGTTTGGACGCTCACATCGATTTGTTTTTCGTTCGGTGGGCTGATGCCTTCAGTGTAGCTTTTGCATCTTCCGACATAGAAATCATCTGAATCTTCTTTCTACCTCTCTTTCTTTTCACACCACGCATAATGTAATGATAAAAATTAAGAAAAAACGCTGAGGAAATATAATGTTTGGTTTGCTAGCGAGCGAGAACTGATTTGAGAATAATTGCACATGCGCGTGAATTGAATGAACTATGACCCGTACAATCTCGATTTGCATATTGTCAATCAAAGGTCCTGTTATTTGGTTACTCATGCAAATTAGGCAATTGGACATAAACATTGCCACGTGTGAGTGTTTTTTTATTTTTAACCAGAAAATAAACAGCAATTTTAAACGGTGTTCCAATAAGAATTCATTGGTCAAATTTTCACAGAATGTTCTTTAGATAAAAATCTATATAAAAAACGAAAAAAACTATTTTTGATTGAAATTCACAAATAAAGTGCATCTCTACCTTAACTTGTATTAATTTTGTTTGCAGAGGAGATCGACCTCATAGATGTGAACTAAGTGGCTGCAATAAATCTTTCTATGTCTATCAAAGACTGAAAGTTCACATGAGAACACATACTGGTGAGAAACCATATCACTGTTCGCAGGAGGGATGTGGTAAAGGTTTCTCTACAGCAGGGAATTTAAAGAATCACATTCGAACTCATACAGGTGATTACTATTAATGATACTTATATGGAACTTATATAATGACTTATTATGAGTAAACTAATTTTTCAGCAAAGATTTTTGTCACTGCAATAACTGCATCAACTGACATCAAAGAAGAGTTTTGTAGTGTCCTTGAGTGCAATATTTGTATTGTTTTTATGCTATATTACCTAATTCTAATTTTCGCATCACTTTTGGAATATTTCAATCTTTCCTATTAGATTAAAAGTTTTTCATAGTCAATGACATCTATTTAATAACACAATTTTAGCTGTTATCAACATGAAACGTGTTACATGTTAATACTTTAATGCATTAATACTCTGTTTATATTTTTTCAAAATTACTAATTAAGATGAATTTGTTTTGAATGCGTGACACAATTCTTCAAAACAAGAAATGTTTTTTGTCAAATGGACACCTAAATATTATTGTTTTCAATGACAGATATCTTATTTGTCTGATTCAAAAACTCACCATGGGCAATGTCTCGGCAGGTGGGTGATTTTTTTTTTGTGCAAAAAATGTATTCAGGAGTCATCCTAATTTAGTATTCTAATTTTTAAAACATTTCAATCATACCTGGCATCTAAATTAGAGTTAGATTTCAGTAACAAATGCCTATTAAATTTTATTTAAAATTGTGACTAGCGTAAACCGGGTAAACTTGGTTTTACAATGAGTTGTTATCACCTTGAAAAATGTTAAATACAAGCGACTTGGCCTATTAGGTTGAATAACAGTTTTGGGTCATTTGTCATAACAAATTTTTTGGACTGTAAAAATTTCAGCTGTTTAAGACGCATATTTTAGATCAATTGGAGGCCTTTTTTTGTCACCTGACGCCTGACTTAGAATTGTGATGGCAGTATATAATGGATTAAAATAGCCATTATAAAATTGTGGCAAAAGATGACCTTGGGCGATGTTTCTATTAAAGCCAGCACTTGCCCAAAAATATGACCTATAAGCAAAAGAGTATAATAGACTAATCTTTCTTTTACCAGGAGAAAGACCTTTTTTGTGCAATGTCCAGGGATGTGGCAGAAGATTTGCTGAACATTCAAGTCTTAGGAAACACAAAATAACTCATTCTGGTTGTAAACCTTACTCCTGTGATATCTGTGGCAAACAATTCTCTCAAAGTGGCAGCAGAAATGCACACAGAAGGAGACATTTAACAACAAATACAGTGGATACTCCGCATAATGAATTAAACCCGGATATGATGGAGCTTCGACAAGGAGACGAAGATGTACTACAACTACAAGGTAAATTACTTGATATGTAGCAACATTGTTTGGCTTGCACCTAATGAAGTGAAAGGAAATTCACAGAACATAAACTTCCTTTTTGAGGCCACGGCTTAATCAAGAATGGGAATCTCCACCCTCCCCCTTGAAAAACAGTCTTGGGTCGGCTTCAGTTGAAGATGTTTCATCAATTTGAATATGAATATGCAAATTTGGGGTTAATGGTATGTTAATGAGATGCTCACATAAGTTTGAAACATTGTTTCAAGTTTAGCAACAAAACAATCACAGTCAAAAATGCCAGAATAAACATTCAAAAGGCATACAAATGTCAGTGTCACCTAATATTCAATAAATACACACAACACACATATGGTAAGTTGGTACGGTATAGCTCTTTTTGGAATAGGTGGTGGCCTTGAAAAGGGATGTTTTGTTTGGTTGTGTGAAAGCCACGCAGTTAGTTGGATTGTTATAATCCATGAAAGTCTTCACTGTCATCATCGCTGTAAAAAACCTCAACAATTTCTTCACCAACTGCTAAGTTGTTCATTTCCAGGTCTTCGCAAAGCAGGTTATCCTCATCTCCATTTAGAGAAAACTTTGTTCCATGACGAAACGACCCACTCAAGCATCATCTTCTTAGCGAGAGCCTTGCGTTTACCTGCTGGTGTGAATAGTGCCTCCCCGGTCTTCATCCATTTGTCCCACTCTGCATGCATGTAGTCCTTCAGTGGTTTATTAACACCAACATCTAACGGCTGGAGAAATGAAGTTAACCCACTGGAAATGACAGCAATGTCTATGTTGTGGGAATACATGTATAACTTTTTGCTGTGAGGTGCAAGAGTCCCATATCATCAGTCGCTGTGAGTCGTCACCAAGTTTGGGAAAAGTGTCTCAACCCAACTCAGACAGACTGAAATTAAAAATAATGTGTTGAATAAAGTATCGCAAAATACCAGTTATGTGATATAGTGTGGAATAAAATTTATTGATTCAATTCAATGATTATGAAATGATTTTGACTGCAAGAATTTGACTTGTTTATGTTTTCGCACGACCATCCTGAAATAAAAACCATGATGAGCCAAGTTATTGTTTACAGGGAAATCATGTGACCTCGCATTGAAAGCATGTACCCACGTAAACAAATTCTTACAGGACTCATTTATATATTTTCTTGTACTTCTACTTTTATTTCTCTTCGCATGAGGTCGTCTAGTCGTTGTTTCCCTATAAATATGATTAACAAACAGACCTTCTGATTGTCAGCGGTGATCATCAAAACGACAGTGAAGCCCCTTTTTTCGGAATTTGTGGTTTTAATGTTGACTGTTTTGACACCCTGATGTTCCAGAGTTGGATTGCCGGTCATATCAAACCGCAATGGTGTCTCGTCCATGTTAAATATGTCACTTTGAGGGTAGCCATGCTGACGACGTAGCCGTATAATGTATCACTGGAACTTCAGAATCTTGTCCTCGTAGTAAGCTGGTAATTTTTGTCCAATTGATGTATGGGAGCATGTTGATAATGAATGACACCTCTTAAATGCATGAAGCCAACCATCAGTTGCTTTAAATGTGGTGTTGTTACTCATCCTTTAGTTTTTTTTCTGTGTCCGTCAAACCACTGTCTTTCGCTATCTTTCACTCTGCTGCGAGCTCCAGGCAATCGTTTGGCTTGACGATTGTTGCTGTATTTATTGATATTTCGCTTGAATCCTTTGATGAACTTGCTTTTCACTAATATCAAAGTGTTCAGCTGCTTTACAAACAACTTTCAGTTTGAAAGCTGAATCATAGGAAGCACGGCGAATATGGCTAATTGGGTGAGGCAAGGCTTCAATTAAAATACAATGTAGTGCTAAGTTGCATATGCAAAAGGAGAATTTGAGCAGTATCAGAACTGAACCCAAAATTATAAATCTTCAAAACTTTGCCTTGATGCATCTTTCTTGTATTTTTTCCCCCAATCACAAACAAATAGTTTTTCAATCGATTGCCACTGAGATTTTGTTTTACTTAAGCCCCTTTCACAATTGGTGCCAAACAGACTACAACGGCTTGCGACTCAAAATTGTTCCCGTTGTACGACTCGTTGTAGCCGTTGTACCACTTATTGTCGGTCGGGAAAAAAAAACGCTGCTCCGATATTTTGAGCGACTGACGCGATGAAAAATAATTGCACGACAGGCAGTACGAGTGTTGTGCGACTTTGCATGCACTTGTAAGACCCCGAACGAGTGTTGCACGAGTATTTTCATGTCGTACGATGATGCGTCCTGTCGTACGAGTCCGTTGTACCACCCTAAGACTATTGGAAGATCTGTCTTGCCCCCTTTGCAACGTTGTACGATTTTTTTCACCCCCAATATAAGCTCGAGAACTTCTGAGCTTTCATCCCAAATGTCTGGACCATCCATACTGTAAACATGGCTGCTGCTCACCCTCATCACCAGCTATGACAGAAGTAGTAGCTTTCTCCTCGGCCACGGGTATAGGCTGGGGCCCTTCCTCCTCATCAGGCTGATTTTTCCTCTTTTTCCTTGACTTCTTTGGGGCCATGCCGATGCTTGTATTTTGGTTGTGTCTTGTTCACTGTGGCAGCGTCTTGTCAGGCATCAGCGGTTGTAATGAAGAAGTCGCATCGCGTGTCGTATTTATAGGCCAACACCTCGCGCGACAGGTGGTGCGGTGTGTCGCACAATGGGTCGTAGCCTTGTACGATCGGTTGTAGTAGTAGAAGTTATCAAAAAATTCTGTTGTATTGTATTTTGCCACTCACTAGTATTTTTCGCCATTTCCAGCGTTTTATGCACAGATACAAAATATATCATAATCATAATGTCAGCATAGGGTTATTTTATTTTGACAAATCATGTTTTGTCTGGTTTCTTTGGCATATCAACTGGTATTCTCTCTACAGCAAAATATTAAGCAATTGTATTGGGGTCCATGCATGTGTATTGCATAATTAGAGATTCTTTGAGAATGTCTATCACTGACTTGAAACCAAGCTTTGCCTAGAATGCTAATATTAACCATGAATTATCAGTTATCAGAATCATCATGTTGCTGTGGTTCTGATTTTTTTTAAGGCAACAGACGCAATCTACAGGTGATCAACAGCTTGTCTGAATGAATTGACAAGCAATGATTGACATTTACCAATGACCTGTATTGAGTTATTGATTGTCTTGATGTGTATTTTAAATCATGAAATTTCAACTTACTTAGAAAGATGGTATTGTTTTAATATATTTCTGGAAAAATCAGCTCCCTGGATGCATACATGTAACCAAACAAATATTTCAAATCTTTCAAGTGTTATTTCCATATAGTCACAAATAGAAAACTTGAAAAAAAAAATTACAGCAATAAGTTCATGCTTTTTGCTGGAATTTTCTAGTTACTGGTAGTCCCTATTCATACAAAGTTCGAAAACAGGGAGTTATAATGTGGTCTCTGACCATTCATTCGCAGTCATAACTGTATTTCAGAACCCTCTAGACCGTTCATTCTTTGCATGTGCCTTGTACTTTTTGTTGGACTTTTGTACAACTGTGTCATTAACATTAGGACTATTATTTTGATTACAGCCTAGTATTCTGAGAAAAAGTAACCACCTTGTTTCAGCTGCAGAAAATGAACCAAAATTTGTTGAAATGCATTGAATATAAAGCCTTCTCAAAGGAGTATGGAAGCAATCCATTTTTGATACATTTGTTGTCTTGTGCATGTTACATGCGTGATGTGTTGTACATAAAATACAAAAGTGACAGGAATGATGCATTTTTTTTCAGATGTGGAGTTTCATCATACTTCTGGCTCACCTGGTCACAGCATTGAATCAGAGTCCGTTGTTCTTAGCCAGCCTGTTAGTGATCATGTTGTAACAGTGACAACACAACCATCAGATAATGTTCATTTGGGATTATCTCGTAATGTGCTGCAAACAGAAGGTAGATTCATTTCTTAGCATTTATGAGATAGCTTGAGTCGTTAACGAATTGCTGTCGTTTATTTTTATGTCAAGTGTATACTTGAAATAAAAATTATGAATAAATTAGGAGAGTCTGTAACCAAGGAGTTACAATTACCTTATCAATAAGTTTGTAAACTATACAAAGTCACTTCATCATAATATATTTTCATGTGAGCGCAGCGTGGCTACAAATGTCTACCTGTATGAATTCAACAATGTATAGATGACCACTTGAGAACACTGTTATAATGTATCCAAAGGTCACTCTCACATAGCATCACCTTCTGTCATGCCTTTTAAACAATCACAAAATAAGTATGTACTGTTCATGTGGTCACAGTATGTTCCTCCCAACAAACATTCCTGTTAATGTGATTATGGCAAATGACGCAGGTTTCAGATATTTTTCCTGTTGGCATATCCCCCCCCCCCCCAATCTTGCACATGCCACACTGACTAAGTAACTGTGAACGTACTGCTATTCCTTTCCAATCTGTACACATTACTTCTCGTCGTAGGACGGTGAATTTTAGGTTGCTTTTGCTATCATGTTTTCCGATCAAATGTGTCTTTGTTCATCACTTAGTACATTATTGACACTTGCCCAGTTTAGAAATGTGACTCTGTTCAGCTAATGGTAAAATATAGTTCTATGCCAACAAGAGATAAACTACAGTTGTGGTACCATGACATCATTTAATCACTTCAATCATCAACCTCTTTAAAATATTTAGCTACTAGCAGACATCTCATTGCTCATGCACATAGTTACCAGTGGTTGGGTCTTGACAGAGTGCTTGCCTGTCCTTTACATCTAATGTTGTCATGAAACATACAATTTTTCAGTCTTTTCATGCAGCAATTTGCAAGTTATTCATCCTGTATCTAGCCTCTAGGTGTAACTCTATGGCCATCTTATGCAATTATTTTGCATGACCATGAGGTACATTGCCAGGTGGTGTTATGCGCAAAATGATACAAGATCTAGTGGTGAAATGGTACTAATGTAGATCTATTGCTTAAATAGCACTCAGTCTAGTGGCAAATGTTCACAATTCAAGAGGCATTGTTATGGGAGTATTAACATTGCATTACATTATAGCACATATTAGTTGCATAATTATTGCCTGAAAAAAATCTTGTATATTAAATTAATATTTACATGAATTTGTTGTATCATTTTTGTGAGTTTGAAAGTGATTAGACAGGTGACAGTGAAACTACAAGTGGAAGTTAGGAACTAAATTGGTAGTGAAATTTTGATTGAAAGTAGGGTCATGGTTATTGTATGGATGTTTTGATTTCAACCTCAATGTACAATTTGAAAAAAACACTGGCGATGCCAGTTTAGCTGGCATGCTTTGGTCCTGAAGCTTACATGGTCTATGCAGTCATATTACTGATTCATAATGCTAGTATACTGGGAACAGTATTCTTGCTCATATCAGTCAATGGAATTGTTTATGTGAGTGCACCGTCTTATGAATCTGAATATAGTGTTCAACAAAAGATTTTAGAACAGATACCGTATTCTACAGACAGGTTTAATTTTTGTTGGTACCATTCAGTATGGACAACACTCGGCAATCAGCCTGCAAGTTTTCATGAAAGTTGAGCTGACACTGAAGGCAATCATTAACACCAATATAATAACTGCTTTAAATACTTTTAATAAAATATAATCGTCAAGTGAAAACGGGACAAAATTAAACTTGTCCCTGTCTTGACTTCACATGAACTTCAGTAGGATTTTTTTTTTATAAATCTTAATGCGGTGGCCCGTTGCTCAGTAGTGCCAAGAACTAGACACCGCAAAAGGAAAATGAACAGCTGGTTGCTGACTTTTGATGGCACTGCTAGCCAATGTCAATGACTGTGATTAACGAAGTATTTCACGTCTCGTTTTAGCTTGTGTAAGCCACATCTCAAAAAACTTCTCAGCAGATTTGGTTGCAGACATGATTAATTTTGGAGTCATGACCGTGCATATTAAGTAGGTAATTTGCATGTTGTTTTGATCAAATTTACTATTGGTGCTGAACATCTGCTGGCTGATGATTCTGCCCTCTAATGTCATTGCTCCTTTACTGACTATTGGGAATTTTTATTTCCTAGATATTTTTTTATAAAACAATTGATTGCACATATCATTCACAGGTATTTAATTGACAAATACGTTTTATTTCTCCATATCTCACAACTTTTACAATATATGTCCACAATCACCTGGCAGGTGAGGATGACACTGTTCTCAACTAATCCCCCCCCCCCAAAAAAAGGAGAGATTTCAACACTCACAACAGCTATCTTTTAGCTTTCACTATTGATACATTTTGCAATAATTTGGGGACTGTTTGTCATCGAGCTTTACTACTAGCAGCAACTACCTATCACACCCTTCGCATTGCAATTTAATGATACAATAATTATTTATTGTAACGCAACTTATATCAGGCAGTAAGTTTGCAGTACTACTGCCATACTTGATGCAGCGTTGGGGAAAATTACAAATGGTATGGGTAACCGATGTTGAATGCATAACATCGTCATTGAGCTGATGTACTTTATCATTGATCACGTTCCCTGTCATCGGCTCGCTCAGATATATATACAGAAATTCTGTGCTTGTGAAGCTTTGCAGAATTATATGTGACATTCTTGCTCGTCTTCTGAATGGATTTGTCCCTTCGTTGATAGACGACTCACAAGTCTATTTGCGCATATATTCCCTCCGAAAATTGCTTGTGCTGTTTCCTGTCATGCTATAAAAATTGATTGCCTGGCAATCACCCTGTCGGCAGCAGTAACATGTTCGGCCACTTGAGTACGGGGATGTCAGCATTGCATTTTGGGGGTACACAAGACTTCCCTGTGATGACTTTGAGATACTGTACTTCATGTCTCAATTAAAGCATGCTGTTTTGTATCCTCAACTTTGTTTTTAAGAGCAATTATTTCTCTCCTGGGAATAAACATAAGCATGTGTCAAACAATGAACTTGTATCCACTGATGATCCCTGACAGCCTACATGTGGTCTTGTTTATGATGTTTATAAAGTGGCATCAGATGACAATGTGGCAATACATTTATTATTTTGTTCGTAAAGTTGCACTCCAAGATGATACATTCAGGTTTATTGGTATTTTTAGTCCCCGTTCGGATGAAGTCCGAAAACGGGGACTTATAATTCGGTCTCCGTCCGTTCGTTCGTCCGTACGCCGTCCAGAGTCATATCTCAGAATCCCTTGGGCCGATTCCGTTCATTCTTTGCATGTGCCTAGTACTTTATGTGGGACATATGCACATGCAGTGGCTTAGTGATTCGATTCAAAATGGCCAACTGGCAGCCATCTTGTTTTTTGAAAATGTTGTATTTTGGACATGCTTTGTCAGTTTTCATTCAAACTTGGTACATAGATTATACATGTTAAGATACATGTCCATGACGATTTATTTCACAATTGGATCAAAGATGGCCGACTGGCAGCCATTTTGTTTTTTGAAAATGTTGTATTTTGGACATGCTTTGTCAGTTTTCATTCAAATTTAGTACATAGATGATCATACATGTCCCCGACCATCCGTGAGTTCCTGAGTCTGTCCGTGTGTCAGTCTGTCCAAAGTCATATTTCAGAATCCTGTGGACCGATTCCGTTCATTCTTTGCATGTGCCTAGTACCTCATGTGCGACATATGTACATGCAGTGGTTCAGTGATTTGATTCAAAATGGCTGACTGGCAGCCATCCTGTTTTTTGAAAATGTTGTATTTTGCACATGCTTTGTCAGTTGTCATTCAAACTTGGTACATAGATTATACATGTTAGGATACTGTCCATGATTGGATCAAAGATGGTCGACTGGCAGGCTTCTTGTTTGTTTTTTTATGTGGTATCTTGGACGTGCTTTGTCAGTTTTCATTCAAATTTGGCACATACATCATACATATATATCAGTGTGTTTCATAATCAGAAAGATGGCTGAATAACGGCTGTTTTTATTTTTGGCCATATTACTACACGTGGAACACGTGTTTTGATGTAAATAAACAATCTGTTGTATACGCCACTTGGAACTCAAGTTTCAAGGACACGCTCGCGACAACCCCTCCGCTTTAATATGACAAGCACAAAGAGAACTTTCAAAAATTTAACGGGGACTGTGTCATTTTCAATGACTTGTTGTGTACGATATATCCATACAGTTAAGTCCTCATCTGAAGATTGGATATATAAACTTAACTTTATAATTCCGAAACTACTTCCAGTTTCTCAAAAATCATCAAGTGTTGCATTTTATGTACAAGACAAGTATGTACATAAAATATTAACTTGTAACAATTAATTATGACGTTGTCTTATTGACTGCCTTTGTGTATTCAGTAGATATGCATAATGGATCTTTACCAAGCCACACATCAGCTGCTGTTGTGGTTTTGTCTCAGCCACAGCATACAGTGACTATGTCATCACAAGGAACCACCTTTCATGATCCTGACACACAACAAACAACAACAGAGGAGATAGTTTACGATAGCGAACTTCTTCATTCAGAGTTGGACCAGAACATGGTAGCAGACAACATGCATGTGACTCACTGTATGAGTCAAGCTGGCACATCGGTACAAGTGCAATCAAGTAAAGATATAATGAATCTGGGTGCTATAATGGAAACAGAGAGTTCTCATAATTCTGATGATGATCACAGTGACCCATTAGGTGCTCCACTACAGCTTGTGTGTGAAGAAATTGATGGATCTCATTATAAACTTCAAAATGTTCGTGATGTGGATTGATTGCTTGCAGTACTTTGAATATTCATTAGGGGTACCCCCATTTGTCGTACAGATCATATCAGTGAATGTTTTTTTGGTTTTCTATTATTTATCCCTTTGTGTTTTGATGTACCCTTAGCCAAATTACAATTCACCTACTACAGCTTTTCACTGCCGTTCAGTTACCCACTGGGTATAGTATTTACATTAAAAATTCTTGGTGTATATTGTTTTAAAAGTGTGTGCAAATATTGTTATACATCCGCAAAATGTATGCAAATGAAATCAATTAAACATTTATAAGTCCCAGTAATGTTGTCTGTTCTTCTCTATATTCCAAAATATTGTACATTGGGCAGTATATAGAGGTACTGCAGCCAGTTACAGTGGGCAACAAGATATTTACATACACCTAACTCTTACACCTGGTGGGCAATTACAAAGGAACAACCTCAGACACTTTCCTAGACGGCAGTAACCGTTGATGTAATAAAGTTAATAGCTGCCTACGTGACAATGAATGAACAATGAACCAGGGTTTCAGATGGGTTCAACTACTATAACTAAGCGGTCAATCAATGTTTTGTTCTTTGTTGTTGTCGAACACTTTATTTCATGCCTACATATGCTTGTTCATTTAATATGTTCTATTTTGGATGTTTTACGCAATGATAAACTGCATTGATACAATTATTTAAAAAAAACACCCCTAACATGCAATGAAATTACCTTAATTACCCTTGTGAGATTTCTGATTTTGAACTAATGGTATACTATATACAAAAACCTTTTCTTCGGTCAAAATAGTTTGCAAACGTTTGCCAAGAAAAGTTAGACTAGCAAGGGCAACTTAACAAAGGATTGTGTGGCATTTGTTTCACATCGTTTGGAAACGTTCTGACAGAAGTCTACACAAGAAATTGTTGAGTATATTGAAACTGGTATATGGTGATTGGAGGTGAAAAAGTAGAATGTTCCAGGGAAAGATGTGATGAGTGTTCTGGCAATGGGACATGCATTTATATGTACAAGAAATGTTTAACTCAACACGCACGATAATATTAATTTAAGCCCAGTCAATGGCATATACCCGATACATCACTCCTACACACACAAAGCAATGGAATAGTCAGACATCCCTTGTCCACCCAAAGTTGTAGGCAGTTATGTAACTTTACTGCGCCTTCGTTATAGGAATGTTGCAAAGTTCCTTTGCCTGTATGGTAGGTAAACATCTTTGCCTGTATAAATTCTGCAGCAACTTCCTGGCATTAACTCTGATTAGGTAAATCAAATGCACTTGCGAAGTCCATTTTTGTTAAAATTGATTATCAGTGATGCCTGGAAGTATGCTGCCTTATGGCCGTAAACTTCAGTAGATGCCGATGCCCGAATAATTGTACGATTCTGTATACTTAGGTTAGTCTGTTTTAACATCCTAATTTCCATAGCACACGGGAGGGGCTTTCAATGTCTCAGAAACCACCTGAATTCTGCTCTGGTTATCTTAGTTCACACCAACTTTCTAAGGTGGATCAGGATTGACTTCTGCATAATTTTCGGGGCTAAGGGCGTGGAAAGACAGTACAATACAGAACATGACAAACATTAAATCAAGTGCACAGACACGGTGATATAAAGTTTAAATTTTTTTTATTGTTAAAACAAACAAAATGCAATTGGGATGTGCAGCTGGTACCAGAGCGTTGCTGCGAGCCGGACACCCAACCCTAACTCTCTATCAAATAATTGAGAGGGGGAGGTGCGATTTCCCAATGCTCAAGACCAGCCAAGGTGTTATCTCACCTCCCTGGTACCATTTGCCAATTGAAAAAAAGCAGCATCCCTTAACACGACTTATTTACCAGAATGAATATTCATGCTTAGAATAAGTGAAAACGGTAAATTCTATGTTTTACAGCAAATTGTAAAGAACATTGCTTTTGAATTTTTGTCAGCATTTTACAAGCTTTAAATGTGCAAAGCTAATCAATTTTCAAGATTTTATGCAGACTTTGATGCAAATGAATGTATCCACTGAAGTACTTTCAATATTAATATAAATTACTTAATAAAAACATTGACCATAATTTTGAAATGGAAGCATGTTGCACTAATACTAAGTGAATCATGCAGATTAAATTGTTGATTATAATTTCAGACTACATAGTATTCCAAGTTTTAAATTTGCTGACTGAATAGGAAACATGTACAGATATTCATGTTCTGTGCAATTAGAATGGCTTATTAAACTAAAATACTGATTTGAAATGTGAATGGCAACTCTTCAACAATGTTGATTGAATACAACTTTTGATCATAATTTTGCTGAATGAATAATACTTTAGAGATATGCTGAATGGAATACAAATGTTTGTTGCACTAAAAATATTCATAAAGCTAGATCATAATTATGTTCACTGAATTTGACAGAGTTGATTGAACTTCCGACAAGAATACTTGTTGCACAAATTTTACAAGGTGTATAGAATTGCTTGTTGCACTAAAATACTGATTTGATTTGACAGAAAGATTTTATAATTCTGTTGATTGCAAAGGAGTATTGATAACCATTTCGCAGAGTTAATCGAATACTTTTACAAAAACACCAGTAAAGTAAATGTACAATGCTAATTGTTTAACAGAATATTTTGAAAACAATACTGTTTGAATAGAACACCTGTTGAAGCATTGATCACAATAACTACAATGTAAATATTTCATTGAAACCTGTACAGAACAGCTGATAATCGGATTGAGTAACTGAACGCGTCTGAAAACTTTCAAAAACATCTGCACATTTCTAGCACATTAATGAATTTTATCTATTCAATCTGAAGCTGAAAAAAGCTAAGATTAGTCTTAAAACAATAAAGTTTCTTGCTTGGTACAAGTGTAATTAATGGTTAAAATTTTACGAAGTTAAATACAATTGCAGTTTCAGTTTAAGAACTTCATTGACATTAAATTGGTAAATCTGAGTAGAAATAAACTCTTAAAAAACAAATGTAAACAAGTTCCTCACAAGGCACTTTGAACATTGAGTAAACTTTTTTTCATTCCAAGTTGGCACTGGTAACTTTTGTGTAAATATATACATTTACTTTTTTTTTTGTTTATTTTTTTTTTATTATGTTTTTTTTTGCTTTTTTTTTTGAACCAGGCCATTTTTTTTTTGTTCTTTCTTGGAAATGATACAATAAAGCATTTGTAATATAAATCAATAGATTGAGCAACTTTAGATGAATACAGTGTGACTGAGCACTTGCAAAACATCTGCTTTATAATAATTAAGATGAAAAAAGCTACTAAAATTAGTCTTTAAAACCAATAAAACTTTTTTGCTTGGCACAAGTGCTATTAAAATTTAAGTGTTACAACAAAGTTAAACACAATTACATTTTAGAACTAGACATGTTTGACAAATTTGAGCACAAATCAATTGGAAAACAAACATTTTTCATAAGGTACTCCAAAAAGGAGGAACATTTTTTTTTTTTAAGCTGGCGCTGGTAAAAATTTGTTGTATGAATGTACACATTTTTTTTTGAATTATTTTTTTTTAACCAGGCCCTGTTTTTTTCTTTACATGGGAAAAATACAATAAAGAATTTGGAATTGGAGATACGCAAACTCAAAGGAATAGAGGTGGTGAATATACAAGCCAACCTTCCTCTGCACACCAATTTTAATGCGAAAACTAGTTCAAGAATGTCTCTTCAAACTTTGAAGACATTTGCAAAATAAACACTGATGACACTTCACAACTAGAATACAATAGACGGCGCTAGTCCGAACAAGTAACAGCCTTTAAATTATAGACTTTTGTCAGGGGTCCTAGCAAATAGACATGGCACGTAAATAGCCAACCTTTTCATGTAGATACACTTGGATGTTTAGGAATTCTTTTTTTTTTTCAACAAATGAAAGATGAAGTCTTAGAATGTCTCTTCAAACTTCAAAGACATTTTCAAATATACACCGATGACACTTCAGGTTTGTAGATAACTGTTGAACACAATGGACAAAGCTAGTTGACTGGAATAACTCTTGTAGGGGGATGCTAAGTAGATGGTTTTACTGGTACTGATTTGATGAAGCAACAATCTTGACTGAACACAACAAGAACTTCAGCAGGCTAATTATTTGGCGTGGATTATGCAAGTTGAAAGTGATTGAAATTCCCAGATAAACAGGAAGTCCCAGACTAATTGGGTTGTATCTATTACTGTCTACTGCATTTCCGACACTGGCCACATCTGGTTGATTACTGCATAGGTTAGATATTAAGATGCAAAAAGGCTGAGCTGATTAGAGATTTACTTGCGCTGAAAAACTTCAATAAAATAGGCTCTGGCATCGATATTTTATCATCTGTTCATTTTCATGCCAAATGAAAAGCCGAATATTTGCCTTCAATTGATGTGAAAGCAACCCCCACAGATTCCAGATTTGGTAAACGAATTTGGTCTCCCATCTTCACTCCTATTGGCCTTGGCTTTTTTTCTTCCCAGCAATAACCCATATCCTTTTACAACCTTGATGGCTCCCGCGTCTTGAATTTGAAGTCTAAATAAACCCATCTGATTACCCAGCAAACCACTTTCTTAACACCTTCAAGAAGCACCATCTACATAAACTCAATGCAACAGTCCAACCTATCAACTTTTTAACCAAGAACTGGGACCTTTTCGCTAACAAGGTTAATCTGAAACAAAAAAGAATCCCCACCCCCCTCTTCTCCCACCACTAATAGTCGGAAAGATTCTTTTACAGCGTTCTCAAGTCCAACTGCGGCAGGCAAACTAGGGGTAGTTTTCTTCAGCTTAGGGACACCACTCTTGATATAAATAGGCCGACCAACTGAATGAACTGGTTTAATGCGCCTTTTAAGTAGTAGTTCAACAGGGACCTTTTTCACAAATAAGGGTAATCTGAAACGTAAAAAGAAAGCCCCTTCCCCCCTCTCTTCTACCATCACAAATAGTCAGCAAGATTCTATTACAGTGCTCTCAAGTCCAACTGTGGTAGGCAAACTAGGGCAGCTTTCTTCAGCTGTAAGGACACCATTCTTTTATCAATACAAATAGATCGACCAACTGAGTGAACTGGTTTAATGCGTTGTTCAAGTAGTTGCGTTTAGAGCTGAATTTATGCTTCACTTCCAGGAAATCATGGACCAAAGCTAGCTTTTTTTTCTCTACGATTACCAAATATTATCTTCTCTACATCTTTTTTTTCTGCAAATAAGACTAGGGAGGGGAAAAAAAAAGGAAAAGGCCACTGGACTTCAAGAACAGATCCACCATCCACAGTTCATGAAGGAAATTAACACCATCCATCAATCAATCAATCTACACCTTTAACAGATCCACACCTTTCAACAGTCTTGGAAAGATCAAACTGCCCTTGGAATTTGTACGTTGCAACATGGCTGTTAGTTCTGTGAAGGAAGAAAAAACCCATACGCAGCCCCCCACAACAACCATTTTTTGAAGAAAAAAAAGCATTTTTGCTTATAAATTCGAAAACTATTGATCTACATTATGCATTTTGTTTTTTAAAGAAAAAGGTAACTCTTATTACAACCTTGTTGGAAACATGGCAATGCGGCTTTCCTTTAGCGCTTCACTGCTAACCTGGGACTTGTTGCACCTTCGGCAAATTGCTTCAATGGCAGTACAAAGCTTCATACTATGACAACTCCTGTTAAAAACTTGAGCATATATATGCAACTATACAACACACTCTTTTCAAGTAACCATTACATCATTTCACACTTCCTCAGAGAATATTGCTTTATAAATTATTTGAACGCGTCAGCTGGTTTTTTGCATCATAATTAGAGTTCCAAAAAAAAAAAAAAATCGAGATTTTTGACAAGACTTACAGTCACCCTCTGGACCAGTTTTCTTGTTAAAAATATGTGGAGATCAACTTTTATACCAATCATAGTAACTGGTTTGCACCATTTTGAAAGCTGTACACAACCCCAAGATATGATACACTAGCAACAGATCAATTGAGCACTTTATCTTTCAAAAAACCTGTTAAAAACTTGAGAAAGCAAACACAAAGGCAACTTGGTAACCACAAAGTACAGGAAAAAAGTTATAGAGATATATACTGTGCCAGTTAATAAACTCGTTGTGAATGCTGAAATTTCTGTCAATGTCCTAAAATTTGAATTAATGTGTAAAGAGCTTACTTAACAGCTTCAGTGTCTGGAAGTTGCAGGATGACTAAGGAAAGATCAGGCTCAGAGTTAAGGCATACACCCTCCCCATTCACCAAAGTTATAATAGTCAATTCTACTTTGTAGTTCTGATCAATCTCTAGAAAACACAGCTACCACAAACCACACCAACAATGCACAAAGTCTTGGCAAGATACAATTGACTTGGGAATTTATACTTCACCACACATGGCTTTATGTTAGTTCTGTGAATAAAAAAAACCTAATGCGCAACCCACAAACTAATTTCACAAACTTTTACATTTAAACCGTTACATTGGTAACTTCATTTATATGTAGAAAAATGAACAAGTTAGGAAAAATAATTAAATTAATTTTGATTACAACCTTGTGGTTAACAAGTGATAAGGTCTTCCTTTTTAAGTCTGATTAATTCAACCTTGATAGTTCATGGCTGTTCAACTTGCATCTTGCTTACATCTATCGCGCTTGTCTTGTTGCATCTATCACAGTACTCATTACAATTATAAGACTTCTCATATTCAACACCTGTTAAAAAACTTGAGCAAAAACATAGAACCACACAACACTTGTTTTATACACCCATTATGGAATACTGCACTCTTCAAATCAGTTTCATTTATGCCTTGATAATATTACAAGCTGATATCACTTCACATACAGGTTATCCTACAAGTTATATAATTATAACAGTTAACGACTAACAATGGCAAGAGACCGACTTACAGTTGCTACTATTTTTACTCTCGAGACCAGTTTTCTTGAAATTGCTTGTTACAACCTAAAGTTCCACCTTTTTACTTTTAAAATACTTATTCACACCACAGCTTTAGACACGCACTTGATCTTACAATCTTTAACCTGCTAAAACTTGAAAAGGCAGAACACAAAAGGTACACACATTTTCATGATACAGTGGATTACAATCAGTGCCAGTTAACATGCAAGGTACTAGGTTAGTTTTGTCGACCACACACAAAAAATCTTTTAAGAAATAAAATCTGCAAATAAATTAATATAAGAAAGCAGAGCTCACTTTTTATCTTCACTTTGATGCCAGAAGTTCACACGACGATTCTAAAGAAAGAAAATTAGGCCTGGAGAAAGAGGTAAGGCATACACCCCTGCATTTACCCAAAGTATTATATTTTTAAAGATATTTTGATGAGGTATATTATGTAGCATATTTACCAAGAAATAATTCTCCATATTTAGCAGTGCAAATGTTAAAAGTACGACGAACAATTTAAGCAATACATGCTACCAATAATCTAATGAAATCAAATATTTAAAATTCATACTGGTTATAATAGCATTTCCAAAATTTAATAAAAAACTTAACTGACACAGACTTCAAAGAGCAGCTGCATTATAACCTGCATCAAGATGTACTTAAAAAAAAACTTGATTAGAACCCTCCCCCTCCCTTAGAGCAATTGTACTTGTGAAGGAAACGTAATAGGAAAACAATCCATCTTTGAAAGTTGGTAAACAAAGATTTATTATGATTAGGCCTTTCAAAAAAGGCCAGTTTTGCTGCCATGATCAAGTTTAAAATTATTAATTGTGAATAATTTAGTTCTGCAACCATTACAGTTCAATTTTTATCTTTCAAAAACAAACCTACAATTGATCGAAAAAAACATTGAAAGTTAACCTTATATCCAGTATGTCCGATTTATTAATACTTGATACACCACTTGTTGAAAGCACAGCAAGAAACTTCACTTTATTCCTTACTTGTCATCACTGAAACAAAATATGCTAGAGAGGCCTTAGGAGAACCCACCCCAAATCAATAGACCCATACCACATTATCTGCTACCAGACATGAAAGACAATTTACATTTCACAAAGTCCATCCATCTATTATCAATAATTTGATTTAATTTCATAAATTTACAAGCAGCAAAGGCAAAAATATTTAGTCATACCTGAGAATACATCTACATTGTAATTACACAAGCTGCACCAAGAGTTCAACAGAGCAAGGATTTTGCTTCTTTTTCTGTAAAATGAAAGGGGAACAAGACGACGACCAAGTTCCTTCAGTGGATAGCCACTCGACATTGCTGTAAGCTTGATCAAATTTTCAGATCATAGATTTTTTTCCCAGCTGAACTTTAAAAAGAGTCTAATTTCATATACTAGTACATCTTCAATTTGAAGTTCCTGTTAATTGAGAACAATTAGTTAGCACCCCTTACCCCTCCCCTCCCCTCATCACTTACCCACCCTTTTTTTTATTGCTGAATTTACAATTAAAACTTCTGCGAATGTGCAACACGATTTTTCAAGCAGAAATGTTTAGGTCATACCTGGGTACAGATCTATTATTTAAACAAGCTGGAAGCTGAATCACTATGCAGCAGGATTTCTTTTTTTTTTACTTCTTTTTCTGTGAATGACAAAAAAAGGGGGGGACAAACACGCCGATCCATTTCTTCTATGAAAAGTCGCACGAGATGCTTGATCAAGTTTTCAGATCATGATTTCCTCTTAATTTCACAACTTTCATTTCATATAAATCTTTACTTGAAGTACCTTGCCAACCAAGAAAAAATTGTTAGTTTTCCCCACCCCAATAAAAACACTAGCCATTCCCACAACACAATATTGCTTCCTTTGGTAGATTGAAAAACTTACCCTATCTTGTTTTCCCATCAGTTGCAATTTTTTTTTTGTCTTTACAATCTTTATTTCCTACTCACTTTAATTAAACACTACTTTTCAGTAGCAACAAGGGTAGGACCATTAAAAATTAAACTGCAATTCAGATAGTTGCTTAGCATGCTACTATAACCCGTGTATCATTTGAGAGCTTAAAAATAGGCGACTATGATGCACAGGCTGCTATAGTAACATACTTTGCAACTTTTAGAGAACATCTAAATTACAGATCAATTTTTAACATGCTTTTCCTTGTTGCTACTTTTAATTACTTATCTGTATTGACTTGAATTAGGGCCATAATCAAAACTATAAAAACACTTATTTCTTTAATATGGTGCAAGACCAAGAATTAAATGTATGACAAGATAAATTGAAGTAAACCAATTACCTTTTATATCTTGAAGCTTTTGCGAGTTGAAAACTAGACAGACTTTACCTGATGTTTCACTGCTACATGTCTGAACTGCCTAAATATTAAATAAATTTGACTTGCCTGGCAAACTTCAAAGGACAGCGGCTTCTAAAAGCTAAATTGCACACTTGCATTTACAGATGTTAGCTTAAATTACATGTACTAACAAAACCTATTAGTTTAAAGTTTACCTTCTGCCTTTTCAGTTGAAATACAAGTAACTTGCTTTTAATTTTTCATCATTATTACACACTTGCGTTCACTGCACATGCTTTATATGAATCCTTAACACTTTGAACATGCCAATTCCATTCACAAGATGAACGTTGACCACCTATTAGCAAATTCAGGAGAAGAAAACTACACACAGAATACTCTATATGCATGGCACCAGCAAATTAAAACAATTTTTAAACAAAAAAAACTTTATATCCGATGTACAAACATGCAGAAATACAGATTGTTATTGGTGACAAAACAAATATTTCCAAGCACAGCAAAAAGATCACATCTTGCAGTCACAGACTGATGGAAACAGTGGTTGACATTAACTAGAATGAGCCAAGCAAAAAACGCAGCAACATGTTTTACTACAGCTAGTTTTGGTATAACGCAAGTAATTAGTAGATAAAATAAGGGAGAAGAATGACAAAGCTTACAGTTACACGCAAACACTTAACAGCATGAACTTGAACTCTGTAATCTTGCATAATGCAGGACACTCTTCTACATCTTGCACACACCGAACAGGATGCACCATACCACCGTGTTTACTGAACTTCAAGGATCAACAATATGGAGACAAGATGAGAATTAAACCCCACCCACCCCAAATAAAATAAATAGCTGCTGGCCATGAGCTTTAGTCGGTGTTTGCGCTGAAACATCACCATCTTAAGTCAGTGGTTTCCCTTGCCCTGGTAAACACGATCCCTATGGTACTCCGACATAGTAACTTGACGCTCTACTACCACCTTTGCTTTTTTTAAGGTTTCTTTCAACATACTTCGTCTTTACTTCAAAAATGTTAAAACGCTTACAGTTAGCTATTATATTCCTTCATACATCTGAGATCACTCCAAAGTTACATTTTCTAATTTCAACGCTATCTTCAGTTGCTTTTAAAATTTGATCTTTACCGTTACTCGACACACCTATGGAAAATTAAAAAGAAAAAAACACATTAAAATACAATAATAAAAGCAATACATCATTTCCGAACATTAAGTTATGCATATATATATATCCGCAAATAGTACAAGTAAAGACCGTTAGAGAAGCAACAATGTATTTTATTTCCTTTGTTGAACTAGGCAATATGGTTGAATCAAGCTACGAACAAACTTTCGGTTCCCGGTTGAATTACGAGTTGAAAAAAAAAAGATAGAAATAAAAAACATACCTTTAACACTGTCTTCTCTCTCTTTCCATGGACTGAATCTTGTTTTTCCTACATGAAAAACTCAGACAAAAAGCAAACGAACCCCACCCGTGTTCACATCATGAAAATTCCAGAAATTTCGCAATCATCCGACGTCACGTCACCCACCAAAACGTTCGAATTCGGTCTTCTCTAAACGAACCCAACAAATACAAAACTGCAATTCCAATCATTTCTATGACCAATTCTCAAATCAAACACGAAATACCGATAAAAAATAAAACAGCAACAAGGATAAATAATGCCAAATTGAGAAAACCAATGACACAAAAATACTTATCAACGTCCTCAAACCGCGTCACCCTGTACTCAGTAACTGCGGGGTTGTTGTTTATATACGACAACAGGCGGATGCACTCATTTGTGCATCCGCTGTCGTCAGCCAGACGTGCCACTTAGACCTGCTTATTTTGGATATCGTCTGACCATGTATATTATTTGCGATATATTTTGTCTTTACATTATCAATATAATACATAAATGCAATTTGTTTAACAGCAGTGGCTGAATTAAACACGTTGTATGCGTTTAAATTTAAGAATGGCGGACTAATTTGTAATATAACTACTGCGATGTGGCTATGACGTCACAGCGTAACCGGTTTCAACCAGCTAGAGAAGCGTCTAATTTTAGAACAATGATCAACAACACGTACGCACAAAAAAAAAAAGAAGCACTGATGAAATCGAGTCTTGTGTATTCTGATTATTGATGAAACTTTGTTGCTTGCAACACAGATCGTAAATAAACGTTAGTTATATCATCATAAAAATAACACTAGACACTACCTTGTTTTTGTTTTTCACCAATACGATTCGCATTTTATGGTTAGATCACAGTCCCTCTATGACTGTGGTTAGATATTAAGCATTATGTCAATCAGCTTATTTTAATTCAAACTGTAACGTGTTTCAATGTCAGCCGTTTATCTACCCAACCTGAAACTGCATCGTAGAGTAAATCAGAGTAAATTACACTGCTACATGTTTTATATATTTACACCTAGCACTGTATATTGAGGGCTGCACACGCGATGCGACTTTGCCCTTTGAACTTGTAAATAGGCATGTATTTCATGCGTTGTCTTGTTGTCTGTCTCTTTCCAAACATACGCAAACTCAAGACCCCTCCTCAAGGTTATATTGCGGATAGTTGAGTTTTACTGTGAATGAAAGAATGGTACACCAGAGTTTTTATTATGCACCAAGGAGCTCAAGAATAAAATAGTATCACACCTCTGTACATAAAGGTCGGCGTAAACCAGTTTTACCCAGTCAAGATTGACGATACTGGTAGAAATTTAAGCGTCTTGTTTGATTTGTTTTCACTAGTGTTAGTTATGTTTTACATGTTTTCAGAATGTATGACTTTATTGTACTTTTCATCAAATACTCAAATATGGTGAACGATTCTATTCTACTCTATTCTTCTGGTAAACCGTCAGTGTAGCCAGTGTTTAAATCAATCAGCAGCAAGCCAGGATTTAATGCCTGAAATATCGTACTTGTACAACCTACGCACTCATAAATATCTGTATTTTGTCTGGCGGGAAATATACATGTATTCATTATATAAATACACAATAAAATGCGGTAGTCGTCGCGCCACGCCTGCGCGAGATAAATGGGTCTTGTCATGGAGGTCTTTTCCATGGTCGCATACTAGTATAACAAAGATGGCGACTTTGACTGAAAAAACAGTACAAACTGAGACGTTACCAAGCATCAATTAGGTATTTTGTAGGTGATTGGAAGGTATCGAAGGAGTCATCGGCGGTAATTAGTGCAAGTTGCGCCCAGGTCAACCCCAATGCTTGTGATTTCCATTAGAAGAGCGCATACTGATAAGGTTGTGTAAAAAAAAACATGTTTATCAACACAAATGCCGCACATGCGCAGCACGACGACCACGATGTATGCTAGGAAATTCTGTGGTACGTGTTTTTCAAAAACACAATCTTCCCCCATTCAACTTCTAAATGCACAAATAACGCAACAAATAGATATATAAGTACAACCAGAGGTACATTACTGGTACAACCTTTCTGTCGATGTATTACTATGATATTTATAGTTTTGTTATGTTTCCGAGACGTGATTGTCTCTTGTGTTTAATGTCGTACAATCACTCATATGCCTACACGTCAGGCTAGAACGTATATATGTCGGCTGATATGTATATCGTGATGTACACACCCTAGCTGCCTCTGACTGTTTTCTCCACTTCGCTACCGAAAACAGACTTCAGGACATTTGCAATACGAATCGTCTGCGCGCTGATTGGTAACTTGTTTAATGAGTAAATTTTTATATTATTGAAGATAGACAGTACTGATAAAACAGGATTTTGACCAAAATGCAATACAGATATGAATAAAGACAAACAAATAATTAAAGTAAGAATAAAAATACACACAGGAAAATAAAAAAACTGACAAGCAAAGTATGTGATGTCATGATTTGAAGCTTGATGGCAGGCAGACCATTTCCTGTTGTCTAACAACTTTAACCTTTTAACACAGTTCCTCTGACTGTGCTTTAAAACAGCTTGCTTTTTGAACCAGCACACAGGAAAAGGCTGACTATTTATCGATTTGTCACCTTGGATTGTTCAAACCACCCTTTATCACAGATAAACAAACCGTGTAGAATAGATAAAGGGAAAAACATTGAAGAGAAGCAGAAAAAAAAAAAACAACAAAACTACGGTATAAGTATCATAGCAATACATTAGTAGAAAGGTAAAGGAAGTATTGTACTTCATGTTTTTGAAAAAAAACTATGTACATAATGGCTACAGTGTTTACCAGTAATGTAATTCATACACTCTTACGTTGTGTCGTCACAGGAAATGGTCTGCCTGCCATCAAGCTTCAAATCATGACATCACATACTTTGCTTGTCAGTTTTTTTATTTTCCTGTGTGTATTTTTAAATATCATCCCGGGAACCTCGGACAACTAATAAATTATTTATTAGTTGTCTGAGCTGGAACAGCGTTAACTAACAGGGCCCTGACCTACAGCGTCAATGTACATCCTTATTTACACAAGTTACCAGAAGTGACCAAAATCTCAATCCGCGCCATCGCCAATCGAGTCTCACAAATCGAGAAGCTCGATGCATAAAATCGAATCTTTCGATTAATTTTCCGTACTAAATTTCGTTTAAATAAACCATACAATGAGCGGAAATGTTAGCAATTGGCGGGGCGGAAAGTTTTCGTTTTGAAAGTCTGAGAAATTGATGCTTCTAGTTCGCCCTTGGAAGTTCATGACCAAGCCGGCGATTTCAGTGTACCTCGTTTGACTCTTTGAATAAGAATACCTTCATCGGTTGACGAATGTGTCAAGGTAACACGCCATTTCAAGTGAGTTTGCGTCATTTCCCCAAAACTTTCAAGTCGTCCCTTGCAACGTCGGCATATACGTGACTTAGTGTCGAGGTAGTTTCTGTTCAATTTGAATACATCTATGATCTATGCAGGTTTTTAGGGGCTGGCCAGATTGCAAGTTGCATAAATATATACGGCAGTCGTCATCTGAGATATGCTGATGATATTTCCTGGAGTTCGTTCCGATAATTAAAGTATGTGTGTATAACTCATTCTGAACAATTAAGTAAAGAAATGTATATATATTTAAATTATTACTAATGTATTGCAATACAACTAATCAAAATTGAAAGAAATTGCAATATAAAATATTCCATCGGTAACACTTATCGAGGGCGTATTTCTAGGTCAGTGTTTTTACGAAAATATGCGTTCACAATTTTATAAACTGTCTTGGAAATTCCCACCACCAATTAAATATAATGTGTACATATTTTAATACATTGTACACTAACAAAAATGAAATTTTCTTAATTTATTATATAACCTGGACAAACGAAATCAATATTTTTTCTTGCTAGAATCACAGTCCCTCAACATCCGGTTGGGAAACGTCTTTGTTCTAAGGTGTTAATCCCCCGATCGCTGTAACAGTGCGCGTTATGCTTGTGTGGTGAAACCGAAGACGTCATGTCATTTTGGGGGTCTTCCTAGATTTAAATTGTCTTCCGTTCTGCGCCTGTGAATCTTTGCCATTTTATACAGCTTATGTCGAAATTATTTCGAGTTGCGTGTGTATTTGTGTTCGTAAAAGCTTCCTGATAAGGCACGTGTAATTTGAAAGATATATTCATTTATAATTGACATAAAACAAATCAAGATTTAAATTTCAGACCGTCATAGCCAGCACTGTTCATTGCAGAGTGACGTGTTATGGTGACGCTGTAAAAATAGTTGTCACCCTGTGAAAATGCGATCCTTATACCTAAAGCGATCACAGTCATCATATTTTTGTTGTTTAATACTTAAATTGTTCCCCAATATAGATTATTTTGTGTCGAAGCAGCATTAAAGGTATTGCTCGAAGAAAACAACTGTTCAAAGGTTTTTTTTTTTAATATTGATGACTAAAATTTTGAAAACCGTTATTATAATTTATGTCGGATGGTGTGGTCGGATACCGATATTCTAGTCTGAAAATCACTGTAAGTTTAGAGCACACAAAATGTGTTCATGTTATATCAAGATAACATGATGGATAATAATAATAATAATATATTATATTATGGATGGCTGCGTTGATGTCTCCGTTGCTGTCGCCTTTTTTCATGCATTCAGTAGCAACATTCTCTGATCCCTCTTCCAATACACATGTATATCATTCCAATCGATATCACTGTCGTAAACATCGTTGGATTATTTGTAAGCATATGATTGTTACGTGAGTTTGCTAATAACTCGTACGTTATAATCACGGCATATTTGTATTTATTTGCTATTAACTCGTACGTTAGAATTTAATTTTGCAAATCAAACGCACCCCAGGTCCCCATGAAATCTGAATAGCGCCCTCTCGAAGATAATATGTAATTTCGCTCTATCTGACCGTTCTACCATCATGCATCTAGCTGTTCTTACCCTCTGACCTTTCATCGCGAATTTTGTGCTGGACTTCCTCCCGTTTTTAACGAGCGTATTCATTCAGCTATCGTCGTCGTGTGATAACAGAGGAAATATGACAAATAATCTAGACGATTTTGATATATCCACAAGAGTACAGATGTGGGGTGTATTGTGGAAGAGACCTTTCGGTCATTCGGCAAGAAATTGGTCGAAAAGGTACTGACTACTGTATACATCGATCTGTTTTGAATTGGTACCATGAGAAAGTTGTTTTACCGGCCATCCAATCACTGTGTGTGTTGCCGAGTCGCCGTCGCCACCTACCGAGCTACTTATTTTTTTGAAAAAAACGTAATATATATTGTTGTTCCGCAGGTTTTTCGTTGTCAAAGAAGGATTTCTTTTATATTATTCCGAAAATGAGAAGAAGGATTTTGAGAAGAAACGCCATTTCAATATCCACCCAAAGGTTTGTCATGTTTGTATACACCATCACTACTGAACCGTTACGTTTAATAAGACCAATCGACGTAAATCGTTGTAAATTTGTCCGTTAATAATTTTATATTGATTCATTCGACCGCATGTGCATCGAATTTTTATACTGATTTCTGACAAGAGAAAAATATAGCTCCATGCCCCATGTCATTAGAATATAAATGTTGTGGTTGGAAACTACTTTCACTGAAATGACTCATCATAATTTTTTCTCATGAAGTATCTTGCAGGACAACACAATTAGAGAATTGTGGTAATAAAATTATCAATAAATACTGATGTGTATAATTATATATAAAGAAAATTTGGAATTTGAACATTATTTAGAAAAAAAAAAATAGAAGAGCTTACACTAAATTTAGAAGTTCCACACATTCTCTTGAATCCTGTAGACATAAAAGTATTTTGAAGGAAAACAGGCTATGTAATCTCCATGAATACAATGCAGTAGAGGATGATAAACATCCAATGGTGAAGACAATTTCGGTTTGATTTACGTTCGATACTTGTACGATTAGCATTCAATTCTTGGGCTCAAACAAGTATAAAATTGCCCTGGAAACAGATGAGAAACGCATAAATATGTTTTAAAAGAAAATGAATCTTGTGTAAAAAATTGTAGTCACAAATTATCACCACTCAATTTTAAAAACAAATAAAATATTTGAAACAAGGATGTTGATGATGTTTTTATTTATAATCATTGTCTTTTGACCTTCCGCACATTCACAGACATGTCAAGGAACTGTCATGTGCACTATGAAAGTATTTAACCTTGATTTCCACAGAAATCCCGCATAAAAATATTGTTAAATTAGCTGAAATTTTTATATATCAACATTTGAGTTAATTATAGGTATTTCAATCGTACATAAATTGAATGCAAATTGAACCGAACGTTGTCTTCACACTCGTGAGAAACATTACATAAATCAATATATTCTTAATATGTTTTAGTTCTGTAAGTTTTGTTGTCCTGAATGTTGTTGACTCCCATGTGCGAAGCACATAATGGGAGTCTTTGCAGTTAGTGTGTGTGTATGTGTGTGTGTGTGTATGTGTGTTCGACTGTTCCACTGCTATCTAAAGAACCACTCATTGGATTTTGATGAAACTTGGTACATAGATGCTCTGAATATATGCGCAGATTTGATTAGTTTTTGGTAAAAATCTGTGCATATCAATTACCTAATTTGCATGATAATTAGCTATTTTTTAGTGGTTCCATGACTGTTCCACTGATATCTAAAGAACCACTCATTGGATTTTGATGAATCTTGGTACATAGATGCTCTGAACTAATGCTATGTTTTGATTAGTTTTTGCTAATAATCCGTGAATACTAATTACCTAATTTGCATAATGATTAGTCAATTTTCGGTTTTTCCACTGATATCTCAAGTACTAATCATCACATTTCAATGAAACTTGGTACATAGATGTCATATGACACTGCACAGACCTGATAGTTTTTATGGTAATATCAGTACATATAATTACCTAATTTGCATAATTACCGGGTAATTAATTTTCAGCTTTTGATATAAGTAGTGAGCATTACATTTCAATGAAACTTGGTACTTACATACTCAAGGACTATGCAGAGATTGATTGTTTCGTATAAATATTTGTGCATATTAATCACCTAATTTGCATAATTAGTTAATTTTCAGGTTTTCCACAGGTATCTCAAGTACTAATCATCGCATTTCAATGAAACTTGGTACATAGATCCTTTAGGCTTATGCAGAGACCTGATTAGTTTTAGGGTAAATAATTGTGCATATTAATTACCTAATTTGCATAATTAATTTTCAGCTTTTCTACTGATATCTAAAGTACTAATCATCACATTTCAATGAATCTAGAATTATTCAGAGACCCAATTAGTTTTCGGTAAATATGTGTGCATATTAATCACCTAATTTGCATAATTAACCAATTTCCAACTTTCACACTGATATCTCAGGTACTAATCACCACATATCAACGAATGTTTGTACATGATGCTGTAGGACAATAGACAGACCTGGATAATTGTGGGTTAAAATCTGTACA